TTTCCTCCATTAACGACTAGAAAATAGTGTAATGGTAAAATCTTTTGACCATTGATCGGAAAGAAGAAGATGCATGCAAAAAATGAAATGAGTTACGAACAAAATCAATTTTCCATTCAAAAATCAATGTGTCCGTAGATGAATTTGAAGCTCACAAAAATTAGACGACCTGATTTGGGATACCGCGGTGTACGATGAAAATTACCCGAACGAATTGAATGGTTTTCAAAATCGCGTGAGATTTGGGATAATAGATTACAGGATGTTAGGGTTTGAGAGATCTTAGGAGGTTCTTGGTTCAGACAGTTAGGGTTCTTCGCGAATGGGAGCAATTGATTTGAGATGAGAGACTTCATAGCAAACTCCATCAGCTTGTTTTGTAAGGTAGATTGTATTGTACTAAACAACATGAAAGAACAAGAAATTAATTTTCAAACGTGTTGTCGATAACTATCGAGCTTGTTTGAAAAGTGAGTATAAACGATTTAAATTATAAATAGATATAAAGTAATTCCACTGCTTGTAAATGATTTATAAACATGAGCCAAACATGCCTTTAATGTCAGATGTAAAAAATTCCATAACATCATGCACAAGATCTATGAAGAAAAATATAAAATTTAACAAACAGGTTTTGAATAGGCTTGAAATAATAATTTTCATGTGTCTTCATTTGAAGATCCATGAAGGAAAATACGCACAATCCCTCTCAGGTGTTTGAGTACCCAAAAAGGAAAAAGCCAGAAAACGAAAATTTATCAAACAATTCTTACATTTTAAAATTGGAATATTTGGTTTAAAGTGCTAGCATTGATATTGCTCGCAAACTGTCCTCGCCGGAGTCATTGCCGGACTGTGCATGTCTGGTTTGAGTCACCCTTTCGCAGATTAAGCGGACAGCCCGCTCCCATCGTGAGTTTCTGTTTGCCGAGGCAGCGCCACCAGGTTCATCGTTCATGGTTATTTGCCTCAGCTGAAAGAAGAACAGTCTTAGAGAATGTAAAATATCTATGTAAAGTTCTCGGAGAGGTCGAAAACTGAAGGAAAATTTGATCACAAAAGGCCATAACAAGGCTGCGGACAGCGGAGTTAGGCTGTGAGAGGTGGCGCTGAGGCTGAGCTTTGCTAGCACCAACGCTTGCAACCCCATTTTTCTGTGTAATATTACGTACAAATGGCACTCAAAACCGAGAAGGACTCGGAAAAGAGTTTATAGAGTACTTTTAAAAGTGATTTTCACCGCTTTTAGATTCTATTTTAGTTTTTACTTTTGTCATGTTACTTTTCACCTATGCATTTTATCAAAATATACTAACAATTTGATTTTAATCACCGCCAAACATATGGGTTCTGTTTATGCATTATCATATGGGTTCTGTTTGTGCTTATTTAATTCCTTAAGAAAGAAGATGTTGAAAGAGAATTTTAAAATTTTAAAGGAACGGGTAATCATTATTTTTCAATGAAATTTTTATCGGTTCTGATTTTCAATTTTCCATAAAAATAAAGGAAAAATTGCAGTCACGGTACCAAACCTTTCATTTAAAAGCAGATTTTGCTCATACATTTTACTTATACCACCTACGGTATCAAACATTTCAAAATATTGCAGCTATAGACGGTAAGGAAACTTTTAGTCTAATTGTTAGTTGACCAATGAATTACTATTGACCATAATTTTGATTAATTTTAAAAGAATAAAATGGTAATTTTACAACAAAATATACAATTATAATATATGAATAATTAAATCAATAAATTATAAATACTATTCATATTCTTCTCCACTAACCCCTCACACCCCACCCCTCTACGCACCCCCCAAAACCATCACCGCTACCTGCGATTGACACTATAGCACCTACCCAAATTCTAGCGATATCAACGAGCCGAGTTGAGCCGAGCCCGACCAAAAAAATGAGACTCGGCCCGAGCCTTAGCGGGCCGAGCCGGCTCGAATTTTTTGATTTTTTTTAATATTATTTTTTCTTAGCTGCCTGCCTGGCAGGTTGCAACCTGCCTGTTGCAGGTAGCAAGCAAGCTGCCTTCAACTTTTTTTTTTTTAATAGGTGGCTTGCCCGGGCCACGAGCCGGCCTGGGCTCGAGCCGACTCCCCAAAGTGGAGCTGGGCCCGGTTCGGGCTTTTTCCAAGCGGAGTCGTCCGAGCCTCCGAGTTTTTTTGTCACCGCTACCAAATTCTTCAGCTTGTTCTTTCTTTTCAACGAAATTATTGTCCATCGATAAAAGCCCAAGCTTGACAATCGACAAAGCCATAGCTCTAGCCAAAAGCTGAGAACAAGAAAATGGAATTTGCACGGAGAAGAAGCTAGGAACCACCTACAACACCCATTAATTTTTGGGTCAACTAATTGTCAAACTAACACTTTCCTTCCATTTGTACTTAAATAGCGACATTTTGAAAGGTTTGGTACCGTGTGTAACACTAATGAAAATTTTGGACAAAGTCTGCTACTAAATGAAAAGT